GTTAACGTCACCGTTTGTGTCCAAACTGACGACAAGACGAGGCAGTCTTGGACTTCAACATACCAACGACGCCGTCTGAAACGTTCCATACTACGTATTTGCAATACCACTAACGCCTACTCCAATGCCTCTGAGTTCAACTTCAACTTCAACGACCCAGCCTACTTCAACTTTAACGTACCAACCTCGTCGACTGTGTCAGCGCTGACTTCGAGCAAGATTTCGACTTCTGCAACGGCAGCCAAATGCGACGATGACGATCGCTTAGCAACCGGCTTCATTTTCTCAAAATTCTCTCTTCTCTTATTCGTCATTTCCGACTAAGACTTTGTCTTTTACTGCCACGCCAACTACTTGGCTCATCAACTCCATTCCAACATGTGCTTGCCTTGTTGTGCTCGACGGTTTCCTGGACCTTTAGGATGAATGTCACTTCTGCCTTCGAATCGCTGAAATCGGGTAAAACATTGAGCTTCTGACGTCAATATGGGCAGAAGGGACTAAGTACTTTAAGAAAGTTCTTGGGTTTTTGCAGAATTTTCCGTAAATCATAGTTTGTGGCTTTGACAATTTTTGTCACATGACACACGAATGCTAATCACTGACTTATGAGGGTCGCAAGATGGTGAGTCGTGGACTTTTCATCATTACTCAAATTTATTCGGTTTCCGTAAAGCCCGATTTGCAAGTCACTACCAGCCCACATTTACAAACGAAATAAAAGTTACAAGGCAGTTAAACAAATTTGTCTTTAATTTCACTTGATGCCTCCTCAGGCTGTTGTGGTTGAACCCAATAAACTCTAACCACCACAAAAGATGTGTTTTTTGACGAAAAGCATCACTCTCGACTGATTTATTATGCAACCGATATTGACTACGTTTGAGTGAACTTTAAGAGAATGCACGATTCTAGCAGTGGGCTTCACTTTCACATGCATCCCAAGAGGATGTACTCTTCCCATATAGACTGAAGTCTCGCCATCATGTCATTTTACCCTCAGCCACTCGCGCCCTCAAGTGGCATTCGAAATTTATAATTAAAATCTCGTAAACATAAACAGCACTCAGCCTCCTGGAGGCTTTGAGAACTGAATGCATTCTACAGGCCAGTGCTAACTCGGGTACCTGGGTCTTCATGAAACCTCCCCTACATGGGGTCCGGTGACTCTTTCCTTGGACAAATATTCTTTAATACTTTATCGATCAGCTTTCCGGAGTAGGCCAAACCGT